AGGCATTTTTCTTTTAGATATTTCAATTTTAAAGCTATTTTGGTTAAGCGGTTTGTTCATTATTACGAAAGGACTTTTATGTAGGCCTTAATATTTTGGCAAGTTTAACTTTATTACTGGACTAAAAAAGTAAAAGTCCGGCTGGACCGATTAATTGATTTCGAATAAAATAAAGAGTTCAAAAATAACTTTTTTCTAACGACTTTTATTATAAAAGTCCGGGTCCCTGAACAAAACCATTGCAAGTCGAAGTTTCAAACTTGGTGCAATATTAAAAAAAATCAAAAATTTTCGTAAAAATTTCGAGCTTTTTAGTTCGATTGTTTAGAAAGATTTCAGTATTCAATTCTGTAGCCCATTCTATTCTAGTTTAAATAAAGTGCATATTACAAATAACTAGGAATTACCGTTGATTTTTTAGAATTTTGTCGGAGATGTTGCAGTTATCTTCCATATAAAAAAAATCGTGTTTATTCGTTATATGGACACAAATGGGACAAGACAAAATTCTAAAAAATCAACGGTGCTTTTTAGTCACTGAATCTTGCACTTTATTGTATTAGAATTGCATTTTCTACAAAACTACGTACTCAAAGTCAAAGTAGTCTAATAAAAAAAGCTCGATATTTTTACGTAAGTTTGCGGTTTTTTCTTAATATTGCACAAAGTTTGAAATTTGCATTTACACAATGTTTGTTAAGTAATTAACTATATTTTTATAAAAAATAACTAAAATTAAATAACAAAAAAAAACTCATTGTGAAAACTTGTCAATATTTGGTGCGCCAATATTTCTTCTACCACTGTATATTCTTGACGTCATTTACATCAGATAAACATCATTTCTGACGTCAATAAATCGGTACAAACTGCCGCATAATTGCTCACAAAAGCAGAAAATAGTTTTAATTCTGTTTCATTTTTTGTGTCTCCTTGCGCGCTTTAAAACCACGAAAGCTCGCTTGGATTTTTGTTGCTGCTTCCGTAGCAATCTTTTGTTTTTTGCGTACCAAATATCCTCGAACACCTGCTTGTATTTTAGTTGCATATCGATCTTCATGTGTGATACTTTCTAGATCTGGCGATGAACTGTATGAATTTGTGGGTTGATTGATTTTCTGTGAAGTTCTATTTATGCTCTGTTCCGGAGACTGCTGCTGGAAATGTTGCAGTGCATTGGTTTGAGGCTGATGATGCATTTGCTTTCTTACACGGTATCCACGAAATCCAGCTTGTATTTTAATGGCAGCATTTTCCTCCGTCTGAACTGCAGCGTCAAAGTCGGAATTTGGTGAACTTGGGTGAATATGCATTTTTTGGTTTGTATACTTTCAGTTTTTATTTCTTCAAGTTCAGCGGAAATTAAGTATTTGTACACTACTAACTATTTTAAGAACAAGTTCTTATATTGCGTAAGCAATATCTTCCGTGGCGATTTTATAATATGTAAAGTTTATGGTTACTGCACAATTTTATTTTTGTTTAGTTTTTAATTGATGTATGTTGCTCATGTTTTTTGAGAAAAGCTGCATATCCATATCTCCCTATGTAACGTTTGGACACGTGCACATTGCTCCAATCAAAATCTGTGAATGACGCCACAATTGTCCCACTCTCTATGAGACACTCGTAAGAAAAAATTAATATCACATATCGGCGAATATGCCTAGGTACTCATATGTGTGTATGTACATATGTGCATACGTATATTCGCATGTATACTAGGGTGGTTCAAAAATTCATGTGAAAACTAAATGCGGAATTTTCACGGTCTCACCTCCTAGAATTGTTCTATACCAAAAAGATATACTACTATTTTTTTTTTATCAAAAAATATTTTGAGTTCGCTCAAAATTTTTCTTGTAGTTTATATAAAAAAAACTCTTCGTAGAAATGGTATAGAATGCTTGAAAATCAATAATTTTCGATCGGAAAACACTGTTTCTCTTCTGGAGATTCTCAATAATAGGTAATAACCAATTATTTATTTAACCACTTTTTCATAGTAACTATGCCAGAAAATGCTATGGTGGGATAAATAAAAAACTTTAGTATCAAAAAATGCTTAAATAAACATTTGGGTATTGTTATTGGAAGTGTCCTTAAGAGAACTACAGTATTCCGATGAAAAATATTGATTTTCAAGAATTATATACCATTTCTACGAAAAGTTGTTTTTTCCCCAAATAAAATACATGGGAAACGTTGACCTTTAAATATTTTTTGATTTCAAAAAGAGAAAATAGGGGTATACCTATTTTCCATATATAAAAATCCTTAAAATTCTAACTTTAATTATTTTGGACCACCCTAATGTATACCTACACTTTCATACATGTGCATGTACATAGATTTGAATGGATGTACATTAGGCCGTATCACGTCAAAATAAAAAGCTGTAATTTTTTTATGTGTAAACATCTTGCTCATGAACATATCACCACTACACACGAATAAAGGCGCGCTAGTGTGTTGAACGCGACACACGTAAACAAATTTTACGAAAAAAGACGCTTAAGGAAAACATCGGCGAAGAAAGACGCGAAACGTAGTTTATGGCGAAGAAAGACGCGTAAACATAGATTTATACCTGGCCAAGGACTGCCACTTCAGCATCATTCGTTAAATACTCTTTGGGGAATTTACATACTGTTACACCAGCAAACTTAGTCGACCGCGAAAATGAGTTTACGGGTCTTTCTTGACCGTCAAATATTTTAACGCGTCTTTCTTCGCCGTCAACTATGTTATGAGTCTTTCTTCGCTGAGTTTTTTTGTATGCGTTTTTTTTGCGGTCAACTTTTGAGCTCGCGCCTTTATTTGTGTCTAGTGACGATATGTAATAGAAGCCGTCATCGATTCGCCATCAGTTAGTAAGTGGCGAAACGAACGAACTCAATGAGGTACAACCAAACTTGCTATCGTCTATCCGTGCTAGCTAACTTTGTTGTTGCTTTCACATGCAAAATTTTTCGTTAAGCGACCGGAACTCAAACATAGCAAGCAGCGAAGTGGCGAATCGATGACGGCTAGAGTTGGGAAGTTTAATTCATTTTAGTGATCAGAGACTCTAGTTCAAATCACTTGAATGAACTAGTTCTTTTTAGTTGAGTAGTTCACTAGAGAAATGTTTAGTTATCTGCTTCATAATTTTGGTGTGGTGGGTCGAGGGGAAAAGGCATTTCTCCCACAATCCCACTCACTAGTATGGTGGGCCTAACATATGAAATAATAGACTCTTGGGAATGAAATATAGTAAAACAACAAAAAGGTAAAAAATAGGACCTAGTCTTATGGGGCTTCGACCTATATACCACCAGAACTACGTCCAAGATCTAGAGCTGGAAACCTCCCGAGGGCACTTTCGATAGCATGGTTGTCTTTTATTGCCAATATCGACACCATCGATAGTGTCGTTTTTAGATTGTTGCTATCGATAGTTGTAGCCGCCATCGATAGTCTTTATGTCTATCGATAGTTTTTTCTCTATTTCCATATTGGTGCAAAGGCTTTTTCGTTTAGATACATCTGTGTGGAAGTACGTAAACAAAGCGAAAAAGTTCATATAAAAGTGCAACTGTAAACTTAATTACCCATTTAAAACTAAACGATACTATCGATGGTGAAAAACTTAAAATAGAAGCAATCGAGTGGGAACACTATCGAGAGTTTTTCAGCTCTACCGAGATCCACTTCCATTTAATTTAATATTAAAAATATCTCACATAACCTAAAATTACATATTATATAGATACAAACCAAGTTATGTAGGTATTGTTTTATGGCGGGTGCCATCAATAGCTTAAGTAAAGAAAACTACACGGTTTGTGTTCTAGAAAAAAACGTCCGTTCTATTTGAATACTCTTAGCTAATGCTATTTACATATCTATGTACATATTTACAAGGAGCTGCTAACCTGCAGCGGTGATACTTTTCACACACAACTCTCTTTGAAAAGATTTTGTGTAGAACTTTTACTATTATGGGGTGTTCACACTTTAGCGTAAAGGTGTGTTCACACTAGCCCCACAGAACTCCCCGTTCAGTGAGAACAATGGAACAAATATCGAATTCAATATGTATAAATAAAGTTATACAATGGTAATGCAACATGCCTGAGCAAGTGTGGATCATGAATGAAATATTACATACATATACTTAGAAGTAAACTTTGATGAGAACTTAAAATGTAAGACAGTTTAAATGAAAGAAGATAATACTTGCTATGCAAATCTTAATTTTAGTTACATTAATTAATTAATGAAAATTATGATGTTTACTTTTACATGAGATCACTAAAGAAATTGCGAACTGATTGAGCAGTAACATTACTAGCAACGAGGGGAGGGTTTCTTCGCGTTCGATTAAATAAAACCACTCGCGTTTTATATTTAAAACGTTATAATGTCTGTTTATTATTTGAATAATTAAAATATTTATAAGGACATATGTATATTTATTTCTGTCCAACTTTCCGGTGGCCGTTTTCCCGTGTGCGCGCGGTGAACGGTTGACTTTGGAACGTGTTCTCTCTCCACTTTCTTTTGCTCATTACGAGAGAGTTGAACAGCAGAGAAGGCATTAGGGTGTTCCCTCATAACAATCGGTTGATTGTACACTGCCCCCCGCTGCAGGAGTGTGCTGGATAGTGCAGTCCGCAGTCTTCGGAACATTAGTGTAGGCCATTTACGCGCTGTCCGGTAGCTTCGGCACTCGCTTATCACCCAACCAAATATAGTTTCTTGAGCTATTACATTATCTTGTATTTTTCGGGCTCCAGGTTGGAGAATTTGTGGGAGTATATCGCTTCCAATAACCAGATCTATTGGTGCTGGTTTGCTGAAATGGGCGTCAGCTAGTTCATGGGGATTGAACTGTTTAATAAATTCACGAATTAGGGGGGGAGTCGGTATTTGCTCCGTTAATTGCTTCAGTACCACAGCTTTTGTATTTATCGTCCGCTTTGACTTGCGGGTAATTATACTTAGTTCACAAACGTTCTTAGGGCGTTTTGTGTTACCTCCACCAATATGAAATACGTCGAACTGGGAGTGTTCGGTTGGGAGCCTCTTCTGAGCTGCTGACGAAATAAAGGTTTTTTGGGCCCCTTGGTCAAGCAGTGCTCTGAGTTGAAACTGTTCTCCTCGATGCTCTATTGTCACTATTGCAGTTGGGAGGAGAACTTCATTTTCTTTGGCAATTTGGAGCGAGGTATGTCTTTTCTGGCAATACATGCATGCGAATGGTGACTTGCACTCTGCCAAGCAATGATTGAAAGCAATACAGTTTGAACACAATTTATAAGTTTTAACAAATTTTATGCGCCTTTGTATTGCTAATTTTTGAAATATGGGGCATTTTTTCATCGGATGTGGGGTGTCGCATAAATAACAGGAAAACACCGTTTTGGAATTTGTATAAAAAGATTTTGTATTACTGTGGGATTTTATTAGAGCAGAATCCTGCTTACGTGTTTTGGAAATTTCATTTCTACCTTTTCTACCTTTCTAAACCTTGAAATCTGGACGTTAGGAATTCGTCCATTTAAGACCATGAGGGAAGATCTTTTTTGGAGGGCATTGATCGCTCCCAAAGTATTCGGGTATCTTTGGGCAATTTGTATACGCATATATGTATAAGAATTGGGCCCCAGCTGTCTGTCAAAATCTTTTGAGTATTTAAAATGGACAGACATGTTTTTATTTTGCTTTGGAGATCAATAATTTGTTGGCTATCTTCTTTGTGAACACTAGGCAGATTCATTAGAACTTGGATTTGGTTATCCACAAGTATGCGTTTATTTTCGTAACGCTCGCTTAATGCTTGCCATGCCAGGTCAAAATTTTCGTCGCTAAGAGGGAATTGGTTGACGATTTGACCGGCTTGCCCTTTTGTTTTATACCGGAGGTGGTATAATTTCTGCGCGGATGATAATTTGGGGTGGTTTATGTAGACGGCGGTAAACATATCTCGGAAAGATTGCCATTCTTCATAACCACCAATGTATGTATATTTGGGACTCGTGGAATTTTCTGCTGGGTTTTATTAAATATTTTAGTTTTGTGTATATATTTATATATGTACTGTTTTAAAAGTGGTTCGAGAGTGTTCGTTCTTGTCAATATAAATTTTTGGGAAATTAGTACATTTGCTGCTGGGTTATTACCACCAAATTTACTGCTGGGTTAACTTGCTTAGTATGTGTATTTATGTATATATGAATGAAGATGTATTTAAGGGCAGCGCAATTGTTTCACCGAAATGCATGCGTTAGTAAGTATGTAGGTATAAATATACAATTATGCGAAAAACCTGGATGAACAAAGTGCATTAAGTGACACTAGCAATAATTAGTACTGCTGGGAGCGCAGAGTTCTAATCTATTGGTTCTGCTTTTATGTATGTACGTATGTATGTATGTATGTGCATATGTTTGTGCAGATGCAGTATACTGAGAGCTGCACTGCTTGTGGGGGCGAAAAATAGGCGCAAAACGTAAGCCAAAAATATTTGTTAGCAAGCGACAATTCGTTTTTAACAGCTGTGCTTTTCAACGCTAGTTTGGTTTGAGGAGGCGCTAATAATTATGGCGCTGGTAATTATGCGCAAATAGATCGGGTACATACA